AGCTTCAGAATATATGTGAAAAGCATTACCTAGATTTGGTTAGTCTCTAAGAATATCTGTAAGGAAGCCCGGCAGTGGTGGTGCACGCTTTTATCCCCAGCACTTGGGAGGCAGAAGCAGGCGGATCTCTGTGAGTTCAAAGCCAGCCTGGTCTACAAAGCAAGTTCCAGGACAGCCAGGACAACCTTGTCTCAGAAGAAGAATGTCTATGAGGGATTATCTAGATTAGAATAACTGAGTCAGGACCCATTGTCTTGGGTCCTAGACTTAACTAAAAGGAGAAATGTTAACTCTGTGTTCATTCTCTCTGCTTCCTGTGGATGTAATGTGACAAGCTGCCTCAAGTACTGCTCTCATTCCAACCCCACCATGATGAACTACAACCAAACTGTGAGTAAGAATAGAGCCTTTTCGTCTAATTAACTTCTTGTCAGGTATTTTGTCACAGCAATGAGAAAAGTAGTATGCATCTTACAAGCCATGGAAGCTGAGAAAAGGTCAATACAAACGGAAGGCACAAATGTCTTATCCTAGAGCAGAAACAAACATCCTTATTTGGCCTTGCACTTTCCACATTGGACACAGCCTGTTCATGGTAATACCTAGAGCTGCACATCAAACGATGCTTCAATGGAAATCTTAGGCTTTCTCCTTGACCAATAGAATAGTTTCCATTGCTCCTATTGTCTTAGTTACTTTTTGATCACTGTGCAAAGACACCATGACCAAGCAACTTACAGAAGAAAAAGTATATTTGGGGATTACAGTTTCAAAAGTTGAGTCCATGGCCATCATGGTAGAGAACATGGCAGTGGACAAGCAGTAGCTGAGAGCTTCCATCTGACTCACAAGTATGAATGTGACAGGCATGGAGGGAGGGGAAGAGGGAGAGAGGGATTTGAACTCTCAAATCCCACCAACCACCAGTGACATACTTTCTCCAACAAGACCACATCTCCTACTCCTTCCTAAACATTTCTACCAACTGGGAACCAAGCATTCAAATACATGAGCCTATTGGGCCCTTTCTCAGTCAAAGCACAACACCTAGAAAACTGCTACCTACTATGGGCAAATGTACTGAGCTGCCTTTCAAATCTATCATTAAAAGCCCATTATGGAAATCTGGGACCTCTGTATAGTCAATGTAAAATCTAACAGTCTACCTCTATATTCCATCCTAACTGGGCCCGTACAATTTCTTGCAGTGAAATAGAGAATGCACAACTCAAAGCCTGTAGGACACAGCACACTCTGCTGTATTAGCTTCTGGAGTAACAATAGACTTACACTAAGTCCTAAAAAATTTGTTTCAAAGACTCCAAACAGCATCAGCCTCAGATGCTGAAACATTGCTACTGTCTCTCAAACTACCACAAATCTCAGCTTAGAGAATGATAAATGCAAAATGTACAGTGGACACAGTAAGCCAATGAATTCTCAAAATCACTCTTCTGTCTCCCTTAACAAAAGTTAGTTCACTGAGTCATAATCTCTGCAGGTATAACCAACTCATCGTCCATAGGCTTATAAGTACCCCCAGAATGGCTATGAATGAAGCCCAATACAAAATAGTGAACTTGCTTAATTTTTTAATTCAATAGTGCATCTCTCAGGTGTGAATTTTGTAAATGCAAAGTTTGGATTACAATATAAAACTGTTGGACATATCTGCTATAGTAATAGTCAAGTGATAACTAGGAGTTTATGAAGTTTCAGATCAGTGGTGGGTAAGTTAAAGAGTTAACAGAAATCACATATTAAAAAACAAAGATGTCACAGCCCAAAGCTATCAGGGAGACCACAGAAACACACAGGAATCTGACAGTGCCAGAAAGTCATTTTTATTTTTGCTTGTCACTATGCTAACTTCATATACCCTTGTTCTTAAATAGCCCTAGTTAAGGCCGGGCGGTGGTGGCGCACACTTTTAATCCCAGCACTCAGGAGGCAGAGGCAGGCGGATCTCTGTGAGTTCGAGGCCAGGCTGGACCGACAGCCTCCAAAACAATGCAGAGAAACCCTGTCTCATAAAGCCAAAAAAAATAGCACTAGTTAATATTTGTGGTAACAATCAGTGACAGTGAACAATTCTCTGCTCTGTTCACTGTTGCTGAGGCAAATGGGCATAATGTCAGATCATGCTAGTAGGAAAAAGAGGCATTTATGCAATTGCATATGTTATATACATCCAAGTCTTCAATACATAACAGAGAAAAATAAATTAGATTTTATATTAACAATAATTTTACATTGGTAACATTTATTTATGCACTTTGCACACCTATCTCTGATTATCTCATCCTCATTGTCATGGTTACTATTCATTATCAACTTCATGGAATTTAGTAGGCACATCTGGACATGACTCTGAGTTTCCAAAGAGGTTTGACTAAGGAGAAAAGCACTACTCTAAATGTGTACCTCAACATCCCATGGTCTAGAGTCCTGACCTAAATAAAAAGTAGGAATGGAGAAAGCCAAATTAAGCAACAGAATTCTCCAGTCTCTTCTCTTCTCCCTCCCTCTTTCCTTCCTTCCCTCCCTCCTCCCTCTCTCTCCTGCCTTATTGTTGGTACGATGTGACCAGTAGTCTCCTAATGCCATTACTACCCTGCCACAAAGACTGTATGTTCTCAAACACAGATCTGAAATAATCCTTGCTTCTCTTAACTCGGTCACAACAATAAAAAGTAACTTATATGAACCTTTTACATATTAAAAATTAACTTCAAAGAGGTGAAATTATTTTCCAAAGTAAGATACCAAATAAGTTGTATACCTGCAAGTCAAACTTAGGCTGTCCACCTCCAGAGCCATTGATGCTCTTGGACCAGGACAGACCTGAATACATAGAATGAAATCCAATCAGACTGGAAATAACTCCAATACAAGTACCTACCTCACTAGGTACACAACCACATTTAATTAAAATACTCTTCAATGTTATTAAAACCAAGGTATTTATCATGAAACTATTTAAAATAGTAAAAACTCTAAAGGTGAATACTCAAAAGGGGCTAAACAGAAAATAACTATAAATATATCAAATATATAAATACAATATAATAATGCTGATATAACTATTATTCTCATTTGATAAATGTGTTTACCGCTACTATATGCCTAGCATTCTTTTATGTGTTGGCAAAATAGCAGTTAATGAAGCAATGTCATTCCTTTCTCATGAAACTTAGGAAGAATTGAAACAACACGGAAAATTTGTTGTACTAAATTTTAAGTAAAAAGTATAAAATGTCACTACTTGAGCCTACTCAAAAATACATACACACACACACACACACACACACACACACCACACCTTATTTGAGACAGGATCTATATAGCCCAGGCTGGACTCAAACTTGGTATGCAGCCAAGAATAAATGAGAACTTCTGATGTTCCTGCTTCTGCCTTCCAAGTGCTGAGATTATAGGTGTGTGCAGCCACATACAATTTTATGCAATGCTAGGAATCAAATCTGGAGTTTCACACATACCTGACAAGTACTCTACCAACCTAGCTATAGCCCCAGCTTAAATTTTATATTCATCGAGAAGTAATTTCTATGCAAAGAAAGTGAACATATGAGCCAGTCATGGTGATATACGCCTCCAATCCCAGCTCTTGAGAGGCTGAAACAGGACACACAAGTATTCAAAGCCAGGGACTAGAGCAATGGCTCAGCAGTTAAGACCAGGTACTGTTCTTGAGAGGACTTCGGTTCCCAGGACACATGTGAAATGGCTCACAACTACCTCCAGCTGCAGAGGATCTGGTACTTTGTTGTCTTCCAGCACTGCACTCAGATGCCTACACCTACATACAGTCACATATGAAAATATGTAATTAAAAACAACATAACTCTTTTTTTAAAGTTCACTGCCAGCCCAGGACACACAGCAACCTTGTCTCAAGAAAATAAAGAAAAAGAGGAAAGAAAACAATTTTAAAGAAAATAGTAAACATACAAGAAAATACTCAGAAGTTAATATACCATTATGCCCAACATGTTGCTAACTATGTATGAATAGTATCACAATTGCATCCTTTATGTATTTATATATCATTCAAATTAGCTACAATGAGATTTTATAATAATGCCTTGTATTTTAATCCTTGGGATTATAAATCTAAGTGCAAACATCACTTCTTTTTAGTAAGAGTTTGATCACTCTAACTGCTGTGTGGTTCATTATTCTCATCTAGGAAATACTTCTTTTGATACAGGGTCTCACTAGGTCTTACTAGGTAGCCTTGGCTGGCCTAGAGCTCATTATATAGACCAAGCTTACATTGAATTCAAAGAAATTCATGTGCTTCACGCCAGGATGCCGGTATTGAAGACATGCACCCACCACCATGGTCAGCTGAACTCAAGGTCAACAAACTCAATCTCGTCAGAGCATAAAGTTAGAATCTTAGATTTTTGAGGGTCATAGGACATTACTCTCCAGTGCTGTTTTGCAAGACAAACACCCATAGACAATGCTTAGACGAGTGTGGCTAGGTCCCAATAAAAGTACATGCACAAAGAGATAGGGAGATGCATTTGCACAAGAGCCATAGCTGGAAGATCCTTGCTTTGTTTACCTTCATCAGAATGAAAATAAACACAGAGGCCCTGTTCTTTCCACTGTTTAATCTCCTCTGTAATAACTTTCAGAGAGATACTAACCCTATTTTGCAGAAGACAAGAATGAGACTCAAAACAAAAGACTAGAATGAGACTTTTTAGATGATTTAAAGAAAAGTCTCCCCTTGATCTAGACAATGACATCAATGGAGGTTCAGGAGACCTCTTCACTGCTTATAAGTGAGAGAAATTTATAATAAAAGGAATATTTTCTTAACATTCTTAAGCAGCCTCTTAGGACCTTGCACTGGACCAAAAGGGATAAGGACATTCAAGTACTGTTCTGGATCCAAAACAGAAGGGAATTGCTTGGGATCTGGGAGGTTTCCTGAGTTCTATGGCTCCACACTGCTGAAGACTTACCAATATTAATCTCATCATCGGTCAGAGTGTCCCCGATGAAATCAAACTGAAATGACTGCAGTGTCTGGGAAAATTTCTGAACCGCAGAAGAGTAATCTGCAAAGGAAGACGACAGTAGAGATGGTCAGCACAGTTATCCTCTCACCATGGACCTCCTCACAGCTACAGGACTCAAGAAACACAAAGGGACATCTGACACTTGTAGTAGAGGAAGCACAGAAATTTTAATCAGTTCTTACTTTCAGTAGAAAGTCTGAACAAATGAAACAGCCATTTAAAAGAGTCTTGAACACTTCACAGCATATTGTCATCCTGAATCCCTCTCCTCTCTGACTTGAAATGACTTAACTGAACTCCATTATGCATAACAGGCCAATATTTTCTCGCTTTGCATACAACAGTTATCGAGAACCATCCTACAAAGAAACAATTAGCTCTAAAGAAACAATGAGCTCTATTTTATAGGTATGGAACTCAAAATTCAAGACATCTACCAAAGCTGGGTCTACAGGCCAGGTAGTCTACACATTAATCAGATGGTGCCTTGGAATAGGATACTGTCAAGCAGAATCCACAGTGTATTTATGAAGGGCTTAAACCCAAAAAAGTAAGAATTTAAATAGTCAGTGTGATTATATGGCCAGATATACTTTTATTTTTGTCAATGATTTTCAATTTGCATTGGTAAATATTCAATGATGGTAAAAAAAAAGTGAAATCACATTAATGTACACTTCAGATAAATTATTTTCACCAACTTTTAAAATCTTACTTTCGCCGGGCGGTGGTGGCGCACGCCTTTAATCCCAGGACTCGGGAGGCAGAGGCAGGCGGATCGCTGTGAGTTCGAGGCTGGGCTGGACCAACAGCCTCGAAAACAATACAGAGAAACCCTATCTCGTAAAAACAAAAAAAAAATCTTACTTTCAGCAGGGGGTTCAGCGAACTTCTTGATCCTAGCTACTCTGAAAGTGAGTCTCAGATCTGCCACAGTATCTGGGAGCTTGAAGGAAATGCACATGGCCATGCCCAACTCTAGACCTACTTAACATTGCATTCTATTAAAATTCTTGAAGCTGAGGACAAGTATCAAGCCAACTAAGCAGCACTGGGACATCTTAGAGGAAAAGCTCAAACTTTTCCTTTTCCTCCACATGCTCCTTCTTCACATCTTTAGGACACTTTGGCTAAAGGAGCTGCGGAAGTTGTTCTTCGGCTAACGTAAATAGAGATCAGGGTTGCAACAGTGTCTATTACTGCACCCCCTTTTACGTTTACCAGACCTCCAAGATTATTTTTAACTTTTAGTTTTTTGTTTGGTTTTAATTTGGGGACAGGTTTTACAAGACTTATTTACTCACAACACTGGCCTGTTAACAAAGGCAACTAACAGTCTGAGATTTACAGTAGCCAGGGATAAATATTGGTAAAACACAGATCCCAACTGGGAGAGACTCAAATGATAAGTTTCCAGGTAGTAAACTAGCTGCAGCCAGTGGCTAAGGCAGGATCAAGCCTGCCAGGAAAGAGACTGGAGATTCAAGCTCGGCTGGGTCTTAATGCCTGCTATTTCTGATTTGTATCTCCAGACCCATTTCCCTCTAAGATAGACTGTTTTGCCCCACCACCACTACCATAATACTACTGCTCCACACTGGTCTGTTTTTGTTTCTGCCCCATGGCATCCTGTGGAGCATCTCTTAAAATGTTCTTTAACCATGGGGAGTCACCTGTTCTCCAGTTCAGAGAGGCCATGGTGATCCCTTCTGGTTAATTCTAACCAGTGCACAGTCTACAAAAGGAAGAACACTGAAGAAAACTTCCCTCATGCTTCCAAATAACACAATGGTCAAGTAAGGTCTTGACTTATCCTGACATAGGTAGAATAACTTGTTAAAAATAAAAGGACTAAAGGAGCCAGAGGTTCTACCCAATCCCACATGATCCCTGGGGACCAGTTCTTCAAATGGCCTTAACAGTAAAAAAAAAACAAAAAAGAAAAAGAAATGTAGTTTTCACAACCTAAATTGCCTAAAACATCCAGCAGAAAAGAATAACTAAGATAATCAAGAATATCAGTATGCTGTGAATGAACGCATGCATAGTTTATCACAGATTTAACATGGGATAGATACAGTTCATCATAGATTTAGCAGACTAGGCTGGTAAATGTGTCTAGTGGAAGCTAGTATCAGTTCTCACCTCCTCACTAGGAATTATAAAATTCTTAAACCTTAATTCTAGGTGTTTATTAAATTCAAGGAAAACTAAAAAAAAAGAATATCAGTATGCTTCGTTAATATTCCAAAGGCTACATTCCTCATACATTACTAGTTTTCACTAGTGATTCTCATATCTTCAATATGCCCCATACACCCTAATCCTTGAAACATTTCTTCCTGACAACCCCCAATACCAAGAAATGCATTCTATATGGGACCCACAGAGGCCACACCTAAAGCAGACTCAGAAGCACTCCCTACCAGGAAAGTCATAGCCACTATGTTTTCCCAAGATACAGAGAGGACAACAGAAATCAAGGAACTTAACACCCACCCAAAGAAGAACAGATATCAACACCAAGAATCACAGTCATCTCAAACACAGATGTTGGGACACCATCAAAAAAAAACACAATCATTAACAACCAAGACAATATGACTCCATCATAAGCCAGAAATACTACTACAGTCGGGCTTGTGAAATGCAATACAGCTGAAGCACAAGACAAGGGATTCAAAACAGCTATTGAGCATATGCTCAAGGACCTGAAAGAGGATATGAATAAATCCTTTAAAGCAGCCTGTGAAAACAAGAAAGCAATGGAATGAAATGATGAATAGAGGTCAAGAAAACAAAGTAGAAATAGAAACACTAAGGAAAACCCAAAGTGAGGTAAAACAGGGAATGAAAAGTTTAGGAAGCCAAACAAAAATCTCAGAGGTTAAGTCTCACCAACAGAATACAAGATATGAAACAGAGATTCTCAGGCATGGAAGACAAGATATAAGAAATAGATATCTCAGTCAAAGAAATAGTTAAATCTAAACAAATCCAGGCACAAAATATCCAGGAAATCTGGGACATTATAAAAAGACAATATGTACAAATAATGGAAACAGAGGAAGGAGAAGAAACCCAGATCAGGGTCACAGAAAATATTTTCAACAAAATAATAGAAGAAAATTTCTCTAACCTAAAGAAAGGGGGAGTCCATAAAGGTACAATAAGCATATATATGAGACTGAACAAGAACAGAAATTCCCTATGACACATAAGAACTATAATACTAAATGAACAGAGAAAGGAAAGATTACTAAATCTGCAAAGGAAAGAGAAAACAAGTAACATTAAGGCAGACACATTAGAGTAACAACTGAATTCATAATGGAGATTCTAAAAGCCAGAGGGCCTGAACAGATGTTCTATGGACTCTAAAAGACCACAGATACCAGACAAGACTACTATATCCAGCAAAACTTTTAATCACAACAGACAAAGAAAGAAAAACATTTCAAGGTAAGACCAAAATTATGCAGTACATATCTACAAATCTAGTTCTATATTGGCACTAGAAGTAAAACTTCAGTCTAAGGAGGTTAACCACACCAAGAGAACACGAGGAATAATACCAGATGATCAAATCAAAGAAGAGGAACCCCACACCATAACAAAATAGCAGTAACTGCTCATTAATAACTCTCAACATTGAGAGTCTCACTTGCCCCAATTAAAAAAAACACAGATGCTAGGTTTTGGTGGCATACACCTTTAATCCCAGCACTTGGGAGGCAGAGGCATGCAGATCATTGTGTTTGAGGCAAGTTTGGTCTACAGAGCAAGTTCCAGGACAGCCAGGGGTATGTACACAAAGAAACCCTGTCTCAAAAAAAAGAAAGAAAAGAACACAGACCATTCTAACAGATTGGATTTTAAAACAAGATCCAGCCTTCCGTTGTATCCAAGAAACACCCTTTACTATCAAGGATAGACATCATCACACATTAAAAGGTTGGGAAAGATATGCCAACCAAATGGACCCAAGAAGTAAGCCAGAGTAGTCATTTTTAGTATCTGACAAAAATAGACTTCAAACAAAAACTAATCAGAAGAGATAGTGAAGAATACTACATTCTTAACAAAAAAATCTACTAAGAGGACATTGCAATTTTTAACATCTATGCACCAAACACAAGGGCACCCAAATGGGTAAAATAAACAGTTCTACAGCTTAAATCACATACTGACCTTCACACACTGATAGTGGAAGACTTCAATACTCCACTCCCACCAATAGACAGGTCATCCAGACAAAAAGCTCAACAGCAAAATGCTGGAGCTAACTGATTTATGTTATAAACCAAATGGACCTTACAGATATTCACAAACATTTCACACAAACAAAAGAGAATATACCTTCTTCTTAGCACATCTTGGAACTTTCTCCCAAACTCACCACATACTCATACACAAAGCAAGTCTCAACAGATACAAGAAAATTGAAATACCATCCTGTATCCTATCTGACCACCACAAATTAAAGTTGAATATCAATAGAAACAACAGAAAGTTTATGGACTTGTGGAAACTGAACAATGCACTACTTTAAAAAAATGGGTCAAGACAGAAATTAAGAAAAATATTTGAAACTTTTTTAGAATTTAATGAAATGAAAACACAACATACCCAAACTTACGGGACAACAATATGTACCTACATAAAATAACTGGAGATATTTCACATTAGCAATTTAATGGCACACCTTAGAGCTCTAAAAACTAACATACAAGACAGGAAATAATCAAACTCAGCTGATAAAAATAGAAGCAAAACTAATACAAATAATCAATGAAACATGAGTTGGTTCTTTGAGAAAACCACCAAAATTGATAAACCCTTGGCCAAATTTACTAAAAGACAGAGAAGATCAAAATTAATAAAATTAGAGATTAAAGGAGGACATATAACACACACCAAAGTATACACTTCAAAAATCTGTACCCATAAAATTGGAAAACTAAAAAAAAACATAAATTTCTGGATGTATATCACCTACCAAAGTTAAACCAGGATCAGATAATAAATTTAAACAGAACTATAACCCCTACTGAAATAGAAGCAGTAATTAAAGTCTCCCACACCCCAAAAAAGCACAGGGCCACATGGATTCAGCATAAGATTTTACCAAACTTTTAAAGAAGTAACAGCAATACTCCTCAAATTATTTTTAAAAAAATAGAAAGAGAAGGAACATAGCCTAATTCTTCTTATGAGACTACAATTATCCTAATACGTAAAGCTCACAAAGTTCCAACACAGAAAGACAATTACAGAAACAATTTCCCTTATAAATATAGATGCTAATTTTCTCAATAAAATTACTTGCAAATCAAATCCAAGAACACATCAAAAAGATCCAACATGATCAAGTAGGTTTCATCCCAGAGATGAAGGGATGGTTCAACATACATAAATCAATAAATGTAATTAATGCTGTAAAAAATTGAAAGATTATAATCACATAGATGCAGAAAAGACCTTTAACAAAATCCAACACCCCTTCATGGTAAAAATCCTGGAGAGATTAGGGATACAAAAGATACACCTAAGCAATAACGGCAATATACAGTTACGCTATAGCCAACACCAAATTAAATGGAGAGAAACTCAAAACAATTCTACTAAAATCAGGAACAAGATAAAGCTGCCCACTCTTTTCATATCTATTGAATATAGTACTTGAAGTATAAGAGAAATAAAACAACTGAAGGAGGTCAAGGAGATACAAATAGGAATGGAAGAAGTCAAAATATCCTTATTTACAGATGATACATAAATGACCCTAGGAATTCCACCAGGGAACTGATAACAGTTGATAAACACTTTCGGCAAAGTAAAGGAACAGAAAATTAACACACAAAAATCAGTAACTTTCCTATATACTTTGACAAACTGTCAAAGGAAGACATTTGGGAAACATGTCCTTTCACAATAGCCTCAAAAATATAATTGAGTAATTCTAACCAAACAAGGGAAAACTTCTGTGTGGCAAAGAACACCACTGCTCAGACAAAGTGGAAAGCTATATAATGGAAAATACTTTTACCAACTATACATCCAATGGAGGGCTAATATCTAAAATATATAAAGAACTCAAAGAACTAGACATCAAGAAAACAAATAACTCAATGAAAAATGGGGTACAGATATAAAAAAGAGAATCCTCAATAGATGAAACACAAATGGCTACGAAGCACTTAAAGAAAAGTTCAAAATCCTAATCATCAGGGAAATTCAAATCACTACTACTTTGAGACATCATCTTACACAGGTCAGAATAGTCAAGATCAACAAAACAAATGACAGCTCATACTGGCAAAGTTTTGGAATAAGGAGAACACTTATCTATTGCTAATGGGAGCACAAACTTATACAGCCACTAAGGCAATCAGTGTGGTGGTTCCTCAGGCAGCTGGGAATAGATCTATGTTAAGATCTAGCTATACCACTATTCTTGTGCATACAGCCAAAGGACTCTCCAACTTACCACAAAGACACCTGCTGAACCATGTTCATTGCTGCTCTATTTATTCATAATAGCCAAAATTGGAAACGACCTGGATTGTCCTCAACAGAAAGATGGATAAAGAAAACATACTACATTGGCACAATGAAATGTTAATCATTTAAAAAATCATGAAATATTCTGGCAATGGAGCTAGAATGAATGCATGGAGCTAGAAAAAAATCATCCTGAATGAGGTAACCCAGACCCAAAATGACATATATAAAATGTACTCATTTATATGTGGTTATTAGTTGTCAAGTTATCAATAAGTAGGTTACAATCAATATAACCACAGAGGTTTGGTACAGGGAATAAATCTACCTAAAAAGGGGAAATAGAATAGATAGTTACAGATGGACAGTAGTGGGGACTGGAAAGAATTATCAAGGAGGGGGAGAGAAGAAATGTGTTAGGGAAGGAATGTGGTGAGGGACAGCTAAACCTAAGGACCATTTGAGGGGTTGTTGGAAACCTAATACATTAAAATATATACATATATAAAGGAAATGAAAATGGTATAACAAAATAACAGGAGAAGCAAAGTTACAACTAGACATCTCTTGCCACCAAATGAAATCTCCAGTTCCAGGAATGGGTTGTATCTAATTGAATTGTTGGCCAAAGGGCTCCACAGAAATTCCCAAACAAATTAGTCTATTGCCAAAACTATTGGTTGCTCTCCACAAACTGATGGTAAGGCCCAATTGCTGAAGACAACTCATTGAACATGGAGATGTAGAACTGTTCCCTACCTACAGACTTCACTCCTACTGACTAGTATTCGAGGTACTTTAAGGAACTCTGTACACTAACAAAGGAGAAAGGTAAACAAAAACCAAGCTACACACCGTATAATCTACAATGGTGACCTGCCTGAAAGATGTACTGCTGCAACAGTGGGAGTAACCAGGTAATACCTGATTGGATTTAAGGACCACTGTATGAAATGGAACCCATCCCTTATACTGATTGCCAAGAACCTGAGACTAGATAGGGTAAGAGCCAATGGAAAAATCAAATACTACTATTTTGCTAAAGGAACATAGTTAAGAAATTACTCCAAGCCAGGCGTTGGTGGTCCACGCCTTTAATCACAGTACCCAGGAGGTAGAGGCTGGGGGATCTCCGTGAGTTCAAGGCCAGCCTGGTGTACAGAGTGAGTTCCAGAACAGCCTCCAAAGCAATACAGAGAAACCCTATCTCGAAAAACCAAAAAAAGAAGTTACTCCAAAAGACATTCTTCTACATTCATAGATCAGTGTCTTGCTCAGCCATCCCACAGTAGATGGAAACAAATACAGAGACTCACAACTGAAAGTGCAGAGACAGTGAGAGATCTTAAGACACAAATTCCTAAATAGTATGTTGTCATCAAATCCCTCCACTCAGAGATCAGGGAAACGTTGTGGAAGAGGAGGCAAAAAGATTCTAAGAGCCAATGGGAACAGAAGACACCAACGAAGCAAAGTATCCTAAACACAACAGAGCAGAAACACACAGGAACTAGCAGAGACTGTGGCAGCATGTACAGGGCCTGCATGGGACTAAGCCACATGGGGTCCCAGCTGAGAGGGCAAGTGGACACAAGGCCCCATCCCTAACCAAAGCTATCTCCAACTGATAACTACTTGCAAAGGAAAAATTATTTTTCTCCAATCAGTTCTCAGTATCCAAACCATTTAAGACCAGGTCCCATGCTCAGAAGTAGATGACCAACACAAAACAAACTCAGTGGGCTTTTTTAAAGGTTCTTTGTCTCAGAAGGCTGTGTCTGTACATTTTTTAACATTACAGGTCTTCTAGTTACATGTTATGGTATCAGATTTTGTGTTTTATGGGATTCTGTGTGTACAAATGAGTGACTCTCTTCTGTGTGTGTTTCTTGCACTTTTTTGGCTCTTTTTTGTGTATGTTTGCTTGTTTGGGCCAACTCTGCCTTTTTTAATTGCCTGCTTGTTTTCTAATGAGAGACAGCAAGAAAGGGTGTGGATTTGGGTGGGTGGAGAGGTTGGGAGGATATGAAAGGAACTGGTAGACAGGAAATGGTGATCAGAATATATTGTATGAAAAATCTATTTTCAATAAATAAATACAGCATATTGGAAAAGTAAAAAAATTACTAGTGTCAACTCTAGTTTACTACTTTTGTAGAGGACCTGGGATTGATTCCCAAAGATGATGTGGCAGGCAGTTCACAATCACCTGTGACTTCCATCCCAGAAAATCTGAAACACTTCTGGCCTCTCTGAGATACTGCTTAGAAGTGATGGACACAAACTCGCACAGGCAAACACACATAAAGAAAACAAACTGAGTTTAAAAAGCAAATAAAAGGCTGGGCAGTGGTGGTGCACACCTTTAATCCCAGCACTCAGGAGGCAGAGGCAGGCTCATCTCTGTGAGTTCGAGGCCAGTCTGGTCTACAAGAGCTAGTTCCAGGACAGCCTCCAAAGCCACAGAGAAACCCCGTCTCTAAAAAACAAAAACAGAAATAGAAAAGACAAAATTATGATGAAAGACATAAAATTTTATAACTGACAAAATCCATCAGAAAGATATTAACAATTATAAGCATAGCGTTGACCAAAGAACATTGAAACAAAAAACAGACAGCAATTTAGGAACAAACAAGTCAACAAAAACTAGATAGAGATATCAGTGTGACACATTTAAAAATAGAGAAAACAAACCGGTAGAAAACTGAAAGAGAAATATAAGACATTAACAAACATGTAAACATGCTAGATACAACATACATCTACAAAGGCTTTTAAGTATTTCTACGGAGAAACTTTCCTTGCAAACTTGGGAAAACTGTAGTTTCTTCATTTTCCCAAGTTCACAAGGAAATTTTTAGGATATATAATTCACAAGGACAATGAATAACCCTTCATAAATTTAACAAGATGGAAATCCTCCGAAGTATATTCCCTGACCCTAAAAGAATATAAAAAATAAACCAACTGAAAATAACTTAAGGAAAAACTTGAATGGCTTTAAGTATGGCAGTGATACTTTACATAAAATATCAAGGAGTAATTGATGAGCTCGGTGGTGGTAGGGCATGCCTTTAATCCCAGGCACCTGACCAGTCTAGTCTGAGAGTGATTAGCATTCTCATTACCGGTGGGAATGCCAAATGGTACACCAAGTTAGAAAGACAATTTGGTCCCTCTTCTATAACTAAACAATAGCTTGGCATGGTGAACCAAACCTACAATCCCAGCTTTTGGGAGCCTGATGCAGGAGGATCTTCAATTTGAGACCAGCCTGGGTTACATAGTGAGTTTCAGATCAGTCTGGTCTACATAGTAAGACCCTGTCTGAAAATATTAATAATTATATAGTAAGATGAACCTGTCTAAAATATTAATAATATAGTAAGCTGTACCTGTCTGAAAATATTTGTAATATTTTTAAACCACCTAAACATAACAAAACACAGTGATCACAGCCCTTGATATTTCACCACATTAAAAATGTATTACCAGTGCTCACTTTGGTGGTACACATACTAAAACTGAAATAATTTAGACAAAATTAGCATGGCTGCTGCACAAAGATGACAGGCATTTTTGTGAAACTGTTTTATTTTTGCAAAATCCATGCTATGCATGAGTGAATATCTTATAATTAAGCCCATTGTTTTGTATACTAATTTTTTAACTAAAAATTTGTAGGAAGCAAAAAATGGTCAAAATTCTTAAAATATGTCCACACAAAAATCTACACAAAGACATTTATGGCAGCAGTATTCACGAGTGACAAAATTTGGAAGCAACAAAATTTCCTCAATTAGATGACTAGGCAAATAAATAAACGTGGTACACAAAGAACTCTGAGTAAAAATGATGAGCTTTTTCAGTCATTGTTCTCTTGATTAGCACTGGTTCTTCAGTATCAATTGCTTAAGTATATATGGAAAGGAGTAAAATGGATTATAAAGAAGAATCGTTTTTAAAATGACAAGAAATGCAAGCCAGACTATTCTAGTGCCACAGAAGGGCTAGAACAGCTAGTATATCGCCTGTGAACTGGAAGTAGACCTGTTAAGCAGACCACACCCAGTCTGTTGTCCTAGAAGAGCTAGGGTGAGGGCAACATATCCGCGACCAATAGGAACTTTAACAGCAATACTGGAAAGCCGACCGATCATCAGGTCAGCCAATACCTGCCTTTCCCTAAAGGCACTTTTTCTAATACCACCAAATCTAAGCACTTTCTTTCAAATGCCTGCTAGAAATTCAAGGAAAACGCCCCGCCTCTCCAAGGCAAAGAACGAGGACTCTGCATCCTCAGGTGTGGAGATAGCTGCTCCTAGGCGCTCAGTTAAGAAAAGGGAGGGGCCGGCCGGCCTTCGGACTAAACACCCCAAGAAACTGGGTCAAGCCAAGCAGGGTCACAAGGACATACTAACCCACAAAGTAGCCACAGAGAGTGGCAACCCAAGTTGCGACCCGTAGAAATCCACAAACAAACCCGCAGACGTCAGCCCTAGTGACCGTGACCATGACAACACGCTTGGCTATTGCCAGAAAGCGCCAGTCTTTGTCTGGCTCAGTGACCACAGTCATGGGCAAAGGTCTGGCTGTTGCCACAAAGAACCAGTCTTCGTCTGGCCAGCCGACCAAACGCATGTCCATGCGCTTGGCCCTTGCCAGAAAGAGCCAATCTTCATCAGGCCCAATGACTAGGGCCATGGCTATGGGCTTAACCATTGCCAGAAAAAGTCAGTCTTCATCTAGCCGGGTGACCAAAGCCATGGCCACATGCTTGGCTGTTGGGAAAAAAAGTCCCACAGCTAAAGCCACGCAATTGTCCGTTCCCAGAAGAAAAATTCCATCTGGTCCGGTGACCAGAGCTGCAGCCATATGCTTGGCAGTTGCCAACAGCGGTCATTCTTTATCTCACCAGGCGACCACAGCCATGGCGACAGGCTTAGCTGATATCAAAAAGAGTCAATCGATGCCTGATCTGGTAACTGCCCCCACTGCCAAGCACTTGGTAGCTGCCAAAAAAAGCCACTCTCTGTCTGGCCAAATGATGGCAGCCATACCTACACAGTTGGCTGTTACCAGCAAAGGTCAATCTTCATCTTGCCCCATGACCACAGACGGGGCCACATCCTCGACTACTGCTACTACAGGACAATCTTCATCCGTGGATACAAGTAACATGAAAGAACCCGTTACAGAAACAACTAACAAGGAGACACCTGTTACAGAAGAGATGACCAAGAACAGGCAACTTACTGGAAAGAAAAGGCCTGAAAGGCAGCTGCGTTTCAGCTTAAGGCTGATAGAGAGTCCCTCCAGATTCAAAGATATCGTGGTGAGGAAGCAAGATGGCTTCACCCACATCTTTTTATCCACAAAATCATCGCCAAATAACTCACTAAATCTAGAAGTGATGACAGAAATTCAAAATGCTCTGAACAAAGCTGCTGAAGACGACAGCAAGCTGGTACTACTCGGTGCCATTGGCAGTGTCTTCTGTTTTGGCCTGGACTTTAGTTATTTTATACAACATCTGAGAGGGAACAAGAAAAGCGAAAGCACTAGAATGTCAGGATCAATCAAAAAATTTGTGAATACTTTCATTCAGTTTAAGAAGCCTATTATCGCAGCAGTCAACGGCCCAGCCCTTGGACTGGGAGCATCCATATTGCCTCTTTGTGATGTGGTTTGGGCTAATGAAAAGGCTTGGTTTCAAACACCCTATACCACCTTTGGACAGAGTCCAGATGGCTGTTCGAGCTTTACATTTCCCAAGATGATGGGACAAGCCTCTGCGAATGAAATGCTACTCAGTGGGCGGAAGCTGACAGCACAGGAAGCTTGTGAGAAGGGCCTGGTCTCTCAGGTATTTTGGCCACAAACCTTCAGCCAGGAAGTCATGATTCGAGTCAAGGAGATGGCCTCATGTGATGCAGTTGTCCTGCAAGAGTCGAAAGCCCTACTGCGCTTTAACACCAAGACGGAGTTGGAGCAAGCCAATGAGAGGGAGTGCAGAGGGCTGAAGGATATTTGGGGCTCTGTAGCAGGGATAGAAGCCATGTTTAAATACCTGCAAAACAAAATTGACTACTGACTAGTTAGACTGCCACCAATGACCCTGGAACTGGCTTAATTAGAACATTAGGATACCATAGTTCCCAGTTATGATAAAGCCTAAAACAAGCTCACCTATATATAATTTGTGCCTAGGAAGACTGGAACATCCAAGCCACCTATTACCAAAGCGTTTTAAAGAACGGTGACCTTAAAATAACTAACTGCAAAGCACCTTTAATCAAATATCCTTACCTTATATCCACATGCAAGCAAGTATGAGAAAGTAACAGTGAGCACTTCTTTGGCTAGTACTATATTAAAATGTCTTCTAAGGTGACAAAAAGTTCTGAAATACTTGTTTTCTTCATTTCTTTTCCTTCTGACATAATATTTGCTTTCTTTGCTTATTTTCCTTCCGGAAGGAAGAATCTAAAGGGATATTAGCCAGAATCACATCCCTTTCTAAATAGAGATACATAAAGATCTGAGACATTTGTCTCCAGGAAGAGAGGTAAAAATACCCTAAAAGTGGAAGATTCGAAAACAATAGAAAGAAAAAAGCTTTTAGTAAAAATATTTGTGGTGAAAAATTTTGACATGCACTTAGCATTCATGTTGAAATATCAGCTGTTTCTTCCTTTGTTATGTATGTCCAGCTTTTACCCAGGTAACATGAAGAAACTTCTGTAGTATCAATGCATAACTGAATAACACAAGTATGAACGGCAAAGTTAAACTTTATGCCTACAATGTTTTAAATCTGTAAGTTAGTTCTAGTGTATTTTGAATGTCTCAACCCTTTCCAAAATTACCTGCTTCTTGTTGCTTGGTGGAAAGAATTCCTTTATACAAAAGTTTGATTTGCTATTTACAAATATCATTGGTGTACTGCACCAGAAAACCTTTAAGTTTATAGAGTATAATTTTAGATTCACTTTGGATATATTTTATTTAATAAGGTAGAAATTCTTTTTGCACACTATTAGTTACAGTGAAAATTTCTTTATATACAGCTTTGGTTTGCTATATGCAGATAAGATTGTTATGTTGCACCAAAATAATTTTGTATTTATAAACTACAATTTTAGTTTCACTTAGAATGAATTGTATTTAATAGGGAAAAATTATTTTTGCATAGTATCAATTATACAATTTTTAAATTACTTTGTATTAGACATTTAATGTTCTCAGTATTAGCTGTAATATATCTACCTTATATTAAGTACTATACTATGTTTAAGAATTCCCTGTGGAAATATACAGGTCCATTCCTTTCAGAAATAGGAACTGATTACTAACTACAAAAAAAAACAAACAACTACTGACACTGCAATAATATTGAGTGAATGAAAAATGAAACAAAACCCAGGCCTCATTTTTTAACAATCCTGAGGTTTATACTTAGAACTCCCTGACCAACCAAAAAGCTATATAATATGGAAATCTGACTTTGGATTGACTGGTACCACAACTTAAAAAATATTTTGAGATTTATTTTATTTTTTCTGTATATAAGTGTTTTAGTAGAATAGTTAGTATATATGTCTATGCAACATGTGCATGACTAGCACCTGAGCTCAGAAAAGGACATTGGATACCCTGGAACTGGAGCTACAGATGGCTGTGAGCTACCATGTGGGTGCTGGGAATCAAACCTGGGTCCTTTGCAAAGACAAAAAGTACCACATTTTTATTACTGCAACCTACTTTACTATTCTGTAGTTCAAACTATATAAAACTGATTAATCTATGACGTTTTATAGAATATTTATTCAGCTGTGAGAATTGGTTACAAAAGATACCTTCAGCTTGTCTGTTTTGAGTCAGGGCCTCATGTACCCTAGGATGACCTCCAACTCATTATGAGCCCAGACTGGCCTTCAACTTCTTCAGGGCTAGTATTACAGGCATGTACCACCACCCTCAATTTTGAATCTACAAACATGATAAAATGGTATAAGATGTTACACACCCACTGTACCGATCTTAATTTCCTGCCTATAACATACTTAAAATGGCCTTGAGATTCCTCCTATAATTGGCTTCAAGAAGCATTGTTTATGTAAATTATATATTAATACTGAATCAATTTTAGATACCTATTAATTCATTTCAAAATATAGCAGTAAAACAATTATATATCATCATTAATATTTTATGAGCACAAAGGTATGTTATAAATCAAGAAATATATTAAAACTGGAATTATTTTGTAAATTTGCAAATATGTTTAATATCTGACTTAACAGATGCAAGAAAAAAAGGTTTGTAATGCAATGATAAGGTTCAGCTCACCATTTTGGGAGATGAAAGTCTAAAATTAGGATGCCTCACCTGTTCAATGACCAGTTCTGTCATGCTCTTGTTGTCTTGAATCCTCTACTACCATGAACTATACCCTGGAACTATGAGCTAAAACACTTTGCCCTTAGGTTGCTTTTCTCAGAGTATTTTATCATTGCAATGGGAAAAGAAACTCAAACACCCTCTAAACGCCTTTTAAAATATAAGTCATTTACTCCCATTTTGCTAAACTAGAATATTAATGCTTGGAAAGGCAATGGGGCTTCTAGTTTTAGCACTATAACTGTATGCCACCAGAGATTTCTAAAAATATTAAAAGCAAATATTGTTGCTTACTCAAAGTGGGAAACTGATTTCAACTCAAGATAAAAGAGTATGTCCTGTGGCTTGGTCTGCTTGTGGGTCCCCTAGCAATGGGACCAGGACCTGTCCCTGATGTATCAGCTGGCTGTTTGGAACCTATTTCCTATGGTGGGATGCCTTGTTCAGCCTTGAAGCAGGGGGTAGAGCTTGATCCTGCCTCAACTTGATGTCCCATTCTTTGTTGACTCTCATGAGAGGCCTTACCTCTTCTAAATGGAGATGGAGGAGTGGATGGGTGGGTGGAAGAGAAGTGGGGGAGGGAAAGGGAGGAGAGAAGGGAGGGAAGGCTGTGGTTGGTAAAATGAACAAATTAAAAACAACAAGAAAAGGGGGAAACGAGTATGTCAAATGATAATATAATTGGGTCACAATGTTTTACTCTAAAATAAGTATAACTCAATATCAGAACTACTTATCTCCAGCACAGGGAACTTCTTGTGGATTCTGCAAGGGGACTATTTTGCTCTATAAGGGCATAAGGAGAATTTTTTTCCTTTTTTTATTTAAATTAGAAACAACCTTGTTTTACATGTCAATCCCAGTTCCCTCTCCCTCCTCTCCTCCCCTGACCCCCACCGGCCCCCTATCCCATCCCCTTTCTGTTCCCCAGAGAGGGTGAGGATTCCCATGGGGGATCTTTGAAGTCTGTTACATCATTTGGAGCAGGGCCTAGGCCCTCCCCTGTGTGTCTAGGCTAAGAGAGTATCTCTCTATGTGGAATGGGCTCCCAAAATCCATTTGTACACTAGAGATAAATACTGATCCACTACCAGAGGCCCAATAGATTGCCCAGGCCTCCTCACTGACACCCACTTTCAGGGCATCTGGGTTGGTCATAAGGAGAATTTTCTGCATCATATTCAACCTGGAGTTGAAAATAAAAGAATATTCAAAAGGAAAAACAAACAAAGAAATGAAAGGCTGGAGAGATGGATCAACAGTTAAGAACACTTGTTGCTCTTGCAGAGGGCTGGGCTTGGTTTCAGCACTGATGGGGTGGTTCACAACCATCCCTAAACTACAGTTCCAACGGGTCTGATGCCGTCTTCTGACCTCTGTAGGCACCAGGATGCATGTGGGGAGAAACACTCAATTTTAAAAATGTCCAAAAAAATCTTTAATAATATTAGAAATGGTAGAACAAAAGTTCCAGTTATCTTGAATCATAGTGAAGACAAATTAATAAACAAGCAGGAAAAAAATGTTATCCACTATATGGGTATCTATATTAACCAGTAGGAGGCCCAGTAACTCCACTTGCACTAAGATTTTGGGGGCTTTTGTATTTGGTTCTGTTTTTGAAACATACTCTTTGTTAGTATTCTGACAGGATACGCCCTCACCTGCAGCCACTAAGAGCACCACCTGTGCATATTCACTACATTCCCTTTTAAAAGGGCCTGCCCACTTCCCATCCATCTCTCTCTTTCTCTCTCTCTCTGTCTGTTCCCTCCCCACCTCTGTCTCTGCCCCTTTCCTCTCTCCTACTGCTCCTGTCCCAGGAGGCCAGTCTCCCGATTCCCCTTTTCCCTTTTTATAATCCGGTTCCCTAATAAAAAATCCCTCTGCTTGAATCCTGTCACGTGGTGTCTTTTTCTCATGCGCTGCTTTTCTTAAATTACAACACTCTTACTATGCATCTCTGGCTGTTCTCAAACTCGTGGGTATCATCTTCCTCAGCCTCCTGAGTGCTACAGTTACTGCATGTGATATGGCACCATATCTTTCTTATTTGCATTTTACTTGGTTTTGATTTTTTGAGACAGGGTCCCATGTCGGACAGTCTAGCCTTGAACTCCTGATCCAACTGTCTTAACCTCAAGTACTGAGATTGATTGTAGGCATTCACACTAGCTTCCCAATATTTAATTAAGATGAAACTAAAATTAAAGTTGGCACAATGAAAATACCTAAGAAATAGCTGGGCTTGATCACATTGACTACTTTTAGCTATGAAAAAAAGAAGAGATCTTTTCATAAATGTACACTCTTTATATTTAACAATTAATTAGTTTAAATGTATCCTCATATTGCCACTTGATAGGGCTCTATGATTTTCCAAGATAGAATAAGATAGTGGAAATGTGACTAAGAATGGTTATCTAGTCTTGGTTCTGGATCAGATATTATCATTTGCCTTCAGCTCCTGCAATAGTAAAATGTCAATAATATATTGCTCAGAGGTTTGTAGGAACTTTAAAATAAGATGATACGGAAAAATAATTTAATAAGTAAGTAACTTGATTGGTGTGGTAGCATGTGCCTGCATCTTTAATCCCGGCACTTGGAAGGCAGAAGAAGATGGATGTCTGTGAGTTCAAGACAAGTCCACTCCACATAGTAAGTTCCAGGACAGCCAGAACTATGTAGATACACCATGTCTCAAAAAAGTAACATAACTATAGTTAGTTTTATTTAAAAACTGATCTGTTACTAACTGGATTGATAATAAGAACTAATAAAACTATGTGCAACTGTGTATAAAATGGAACTACTGGCTGGGCGGTGGTGGCGCACGCCTTTAATCCCAGCACTTGGAAGGCAGAGGCAGGCGGATCTCTGTGAGTTCGAGGCCGGGCTGGACCGACAGCCTCCAAAACAATACAGAGAAACCCTGTCTCGTAAAAACCAAAAAAAGAGGAACTACTGAAAATAGTAACTTAA